GGGGAGCGCTTCCTGGCGGGGGCGGAGCGGAGCGGGCGGGAGGCATCGCCCGGCATCGCCCGGCTCCGGGAGAGCCTCTGCAGGCCTGCCCAGCGGGCCCCGGCGGCATGGAGGGGCCTGCAGGTAAAGGCTGCGCCGCGCCGGGGAGAGGGGCGTTGCTGGCGCTGTCACAAGCTGGGCTCCAGAGGAGCCGGCTGGCGTGATAAAGGGGGGGAGGAAATGCTGGCTTCGCTTCTGGGGGCATCCTTTGGGGTGCGGGGGATCACCCTCCTCCTGGTCACCACCGGTGCAGGGCTCCAGTGCAGTGAAAATCTGGGTTTTCTCTGTTGCGAGAACCCGTTTGTGGTTAATGCCGTCCTGAGTTGAAATGGTGAAGTGTGATGGCTCATTCGAGCCGTCTGCAGTTTCTGTTCCTCCTTTTCCCTGGGCTGGTCTTGTGCACTGCTCACAGCCTCGGCCTCTGGCCTGAGTTAAATTCCCGTATCCCTTTGTTTCACGTGTTCTTCTCCATTCATTTCCACTCTGGCCCCAGGATGACTTCATACTCATATAGGTTTCCTCCCTCTCCTCTCCTGCTAGGTGCTGAGAAGATGGCCTCCCCAGGTGCCCCAGGGACCCGCATGACCTCCACAGTCAGCATCAACATTTCTACCCCCTCCTTCTACAACCCACAGAAGAAGTTTGCACCTGTGGTTGCCCCCAAACCCAAGGTGAACCCCTTCAAGGCTGGGGGTGCGTCAGAGTCGTCGCTGCCCCCACCTCCTGGTCCTGGTGCCCAGCGTGCTCAGATAGGGAAGGTGGGGGAGATTCCATTACCACCCACGTCCCTGCTGGCAGAAGGTAGGTGAAGGCTGGCACGGCAGATGTGAATATGCATTTCTGAATGCTCAGGGTGGGAGGTGTGTAGCTGGGCTACAAGCATGAGAACAGGGGCGTAACTGCTACAAGGGATGGATATTCTTGCTGTGGAGGCTAGCAGGTTCCATAATGAGATAAATGGATTGGAAAGAGAGCTCAAAGTACATAGTATCTCCATTAGGAAAGGAGAGAAGAGTCTGTTCTGCACTGCACTGATGCTGGAGGAATGCAGTGGATTTTTCACAGTATTCCCTGGGTGCACAGTTGTGTAATTGCAGTCGGGTTCCTGGCCAGCGTTTCTGGGAGCAAGTATGTTGCAGAGAAGTTGACCCTGATAATGATGAATCACGCTGTTCTCCTTCTTGTCAATTGGTCCCAGCTCAAGTTGGTTATTTCTGACTGTCCTTCTCGTGGACTATGCAATTGCCCTCCTTGATGCTGGAAAAGAGAAGTGAGGAATAATCCCATGAAAAAATAGTGGCAACGATGACAAACAGGAAGTGAGACTTAGAGTTTAGTTTGTATGGCTTGTACAGTTTTGTACTTTTTCCTAGTGGTTTGGGTTGGGTTTTCCTGTGTAGAGTGACTTCTTGTTTCCCTGTGGTTTTCTTATTTCTTTCTTTCTTTTTTTTTTGTTTCCTGCAGTGGTAGAGTGGGGTTTTTTTTTTGTTCTATGTTTTGTTACTTGGTTGGTTTTGTCCTTTAAGGTTACTGGTTGTGTGACTCCGTAGTTTGAACTCATGATTAGCATGGGGCCAGCAGAAATTTCGGTAGGGACCCTTTGCTAACCCTTGATACTGCCTGTTTCCCCAAGGCTCTGTCAGGTAAAGGGTGTGCCTCAGTCAGGACACACGTGTTCAGAGTGCCAGCTTCTGGTTTCAATTCTTTTCTCTCTCTGTTCAGCAGAGACTGCAACACTGATGTTTTCCAGGTTAGTGGGCAGCTGACTTGATGGTAGCAAGGCTGGTCCTGTGCTTAGAGGAGAAAAATGATTAGGCCATTTTTTTCCTCATTTCTCAAGTCACAAGGACATGCTGGTACTTCTGCCTCCTAAAATTGTACCAGCTAACTCTGATGACCTATTTCTTGTATGTTGTTGGCTGGACTCTTCTGTCCGTGGAAACCAAGGTCCCATCTTAGGACTTGTCATTTTCTGCTGTAGTTGTCTGGATTAGGGATGTGCCTGTCAGAAGGTCTCAAACTGACACAAACATTACCTGAAGTAGACAGATGGATGCTAAAAATTATTTTTCAGTATACAATGTGAGTGGAGCGTTAGTTGTTGCTTGCTCTGCTTCTCCTGTTGTTGAAGTGGGCATTATGGAGTAACTAGAAAGAAAGAAACACTAGCAGAAGAACCATTTGTCCTAAGCTGCTGTGTCATCATTGGGTAAGGGCTGCCAGCAAGACATCTGAAGTATGGATGAGCCACCAAAACTCAGTCATGAGAGAAATGTGTCTGATTTGATCCTTCTCTGGTGCATTTCTTCAGTCCTTCTGTGCCTTTCTTGTACAGTCCTCAAACAAAATGTGGTGTGATACAGAGCTGTAGCAGTTGGACTCCTGGTCTTAAATGACAGGATGGCTAAGTTAGTATTGCTGTAGGAATGTTATATTTAGTATTGATTATGCTGTAAATCTAGTATAACAACTTTGTGGGGAACTTTCTTGTCCTGTGAATAATTCATAACACAGGCTTTTAGTGCATCTGAAACAATGTGACAACAGATAAGGGTTTTGTTTCTTAGGGTTTCAGTGAACCAAAAGGCAAGCGTGTACAAGCTTGATCCAAAACTGTAATTTAAAATTTATTACTCCATCCCCCCAGCAGAATTTCTGCAGCACGAGAAGGCTTGGAAGAGGTGTTGCATACCAGGGCAGTTTATGCATTCCACGGGCTAATAAGATTCGGGCTTTCAGATTTTTAAAAGGGCAATATCGTCTCCCTTAGGTTACAGATGAGAAGTCCTTATAAAGCCTGTTGACAACAGCTGGATAGAAAGATGAGACAATTTGATTTCTGCTGTTAAAAGTTGTCCTTTGGAGTAGCTGGAGTGGAAAGTTTGGTCTTTTACCCTACTGCTCATTGAGGCTAGCTGTGAAGAGAGAGGAGGGTGTCTGGAAGAAGGCATGTGGAAATTACTCCTCATCATCTTCAATGTTCTTCGCTGTGGACAGTTTCTCCACTACATGGTGAAGGGTAGTCACATTTATTTGTCTGTGTTGTAAATAGAAAATGGTTGGTTTTGGCTGTTCTGCATCTGTGGCAAATATGAATAGGTGGAAGCAATGAGATTTTCTAGAAAACTGAGGTGCTCTGGTGCTTTCAGCTTGCCTAAAAGGTTTTGGAAAATTCCTTGTGTTCTAATGTGTACTGGGTGTGAAGACATATTAGCCTCAAAAATCAAAGCTGGTTTTATCCCCCAGAAAAACAAAGCCATTTCAAAGATTCTTCACACACAAGGGGTAATTGGTCCAGCTTGCTTTTTTTCCACCCCACTTGTTTCTTGTAGTGCTTACAATCCTGCTGTGAGATGCCAGCTTACTTTCATGTAAAAACACAGGCTCTCCAGGGTCTTGAGTTGTCCACTGGCATTCCATGTATGCTACCCTGTGTTGAGTAATCTGAGCCAGCTACTGGCAAGAGAAGGGTGTGCTGGGGACACATAGCGAGACACGTTTCCCAAATATACAGTGGTTCTGCCCAGTGACTAATAGCAGCAGCTACTGAGGAAAGATTAAATGACTATGAAAAGCTTTGGACAAGGTGAAAAACAGCCTGTGGAGTTCAGCTGTCCTTGATGGGCACTGAGCTCCTGAGAGTGCAGGGAGACCAGTGTGCACTCACTGCCCAGAACGCTGGTGAAATCCTGGGCTGCGTCAAGAGGGGTGTGACCAGCAGATGGGGGAGGGATTCTGCCTCTCTGCTCCACTCTTGTGAGACCTCACCTGGAATGCAGCATCTGGCTCTGGGATCCTCAGCACAAGAAAGATGTGGACTCAGAGTGAATCCAGAGGAGACCACGAAGATGATCCGAGGGTGGAGGCACCTCTTTTAGGAAGATAGGCCAAGAGAGCTGAGGTTTGTCAGCCTAGAGAAGAGAAAGCTCCGGGGAGAACTCACTGTGGCCTTCTACTACCTTAAGGGGGTTATAAAAAGGAGGGAGATGGAGATTTTATGTGTACAGACAGTAAAAGGACAAGGGTTTTAAGATGGAAGAGGGCTGGTTTAGATAAGATGTCAGGAAGAAATTCTTTACTTGGGGTGGCGAGGCACTGGAACCGGTTGCTCAGAAAGGTGGATGCCCCGTTTCTGGAAGTGTTCAAGGTCATGTTGGATGGGGCTGTGAGCATCCTGAGTGGCATGCTTTGCCCATGCCAGTGAGGTTCCAACTAGATATTCTTTAAGGGTTCTTCCATCCCAAACCATTCTGTGATTCTATGGTCCTGCTTGCTGCAATACCTTCAAGAACCCTCCTGGCTAGGAGTAAGAAATAATCTGAAGTCGCTTTTATTCCCATTCTTCCCCATAGACCTGCCGCTGCCACCTCCTCCTCCACCTGGGGAGGATGCAAGCTTCTCCTCAAACTGTGCATTTCCACCACCCCCACCACCCTTTGAAGAACCTTTTCCACCAGCCCCAGAAGAAGCTTTTCCTTCTCCTCCTTCTCCGCCTCCTCCTCCTCCACCAATGTTTGACGAAGGACCTGTGAGCAAGGTTCCTGCCCCACAGGTGAGTGAGGTCCGAGGGACTGTTGTTTCTGTGTGAGTTGGGACAGCTTCTCGCTACTGTCTGAGCTCAGCAGCGGGAAGCCCTGAGAGCTGGGAAAGCAGGAAATGCTACCAGCCCGTGGACCAGCACAGGTTAGGGTCAGCTGGCTGAGCTGCAGCTCTTTGGGGAAGCACCCGGGGTTCCCCAAAGGAACAGTGGACAGTGAGTTGAATGCAAGCCAGCAAAGCACCCTTGTGGCAGTAAAGGCCAGCTACACGCTGGGCTGCACCTGGGAGAGAAGGACAAGGATGGTGAATACTCCTCCCTTCTGTGCTAGTGAGGCTGCATCTTGGAGGACTGTATCTAGTCAGGCTCTTCAGTATAATAACCCCTCTGGAACACTGAAGGAGATGCAATCAGTGAAAGGTCATAGCAGCCTTTGGGGGTTGGAGCAGAAGAGGCTGCCAAGGCAGGGGTCTGACTGGAGTCTGCAATACCTAAAGGAGGGCTGAAGAGAAGATAGATTCTTCTTACTTGGGCACAACAGGAGACAATGGACTGAAGTTGTGGCAAGGGAAATTCCTCTTGGACAGAAGAAAGCCCTGTTCCACTCCAGGGGTGGCTCATAGCTGGCATGTGTGCCTAGAAAGACTGGGGAACCTGCATCATTGGAATGTTGTGAAATCATCTGGACAGGCCCCTGAGCAACCTGGTGTTGCTCAGGAATTAGCCCTGCTGTGAGCAGAGTGTTGGACTACAGACATCCAGATGTCTTTCCCTACCTAAATCTGAGACCTAACTTGGGCTGTGCATTTTTCCACTGTTTGTAGACCTTTGAGACTGCATCCTGTTCATCCTCACCTGCTTTTTATCCATTCAAAGCAAGGAGCAGATCTGTACCGCAGTCCAAAGTATCAAAATACGCTATTGTAAGGGAATGATACACCCATTTCTCTGGCTGTTCCTGTAACATGCTGTGCTCCCTTTTTCCTCATGGATGGTGGTGTAGGTACGTGGCAAGATGAGCAGCGTTGATCTTGAGATTGATTCACTGTCTGTAATGTTGGATGACATGGAGAAGAATGACCCCTTCAAATCCCGGGTGAGCTGTCCAGAATGTTGCAGGTGGAAGAAGAGATGACTGGTTTGCTGAACAGAGGTAGTGAGGAGGGTGCTGCTGAAGGTTAAAATGTCTGGATAAACCATAGCACTGAAGTGTTGGTGAAGGACCGGACAGCGTGCATCTTGCAACTTGTCAGTACTGCTGAATATGTCACAGTGCGGAAACTCCTCGCCTTCTGTGTCTGGGAGAGCTGCTGGCTGACTCACTGCTATAGGTGGCCTATTTTCTCTTCCACCTTGCTGATACCTGCCTGTTTTCTCTCTGCTGCTTCTCTTTACAGATAACTCCAGGATCCACAGGCTCTCTGGAGAAACCATTGGCCCCAAAAGCCCCTGCGGAAATACCATCTGCACCCAAAGATACTCCTCCTTCCTTTCCTCCCAAGTTCACACCAAAGCCAAGTGGAAGCTCATCTTTCAAGCCCCCTGGGGTGGATTTGAACCCCACTCCAACCCCATGGGCAGCCCCACAGCAACGCAAGGAGCCCCAAGCACCAGCTCCTCCACCCCCCTCTCTCCCTTCTGCTCAGCCCACCCCTAAGTTCTCCCCATCGCCTGCTGCTGGCTCTCCTAAGTCTGTGTCCAAATCAGGTGACAGTGTTCCAGTGGCTCCCTCAAATTCTACAAGATACCCTACCTCCCTTCAGACTCAGTTCACAGCCCCTTCACCTTCAGGCCCCTCCTCTCGACCACAGCACCCCAGTTTCACCTATGCCCAGCAGAGGGAAAGACCCCAAGTGCAGGAGAAGCCACGCCCGACAGAACAGCCTGCTGCTGCAAAAGACACGGTAAGAGAAAGAGCCGTGGGAGCTTGAGTCTTTGGACAGGCACATTGGGAATGGAGTTGGGAGATTGAGGGCAGATCTACCCCAGGCCATGGAAGTCTGTTACCCATCTGAAAGAGAGATCTAGCTGTAGAGATAGTGGTGGAGGACTTCATGTAAAGGTGGAAAGAATCAAGCACGGTGGATGGCAGATAGTTCCTAGAGTAAACAAAGAGGCCTGTAAAGGCAAGAGAAATAGGTTTATTAGGGACAGGGTGGGAGGGAGTCTGTCCTTTGGGGATTGAATGTTTCCTCTTCCTGCAGCATAGACCCACAGGTTCCAGTGCAGATCCACCTAGGGGGAATTCCTGCCTGACAATGAAGGAGGTAGAAGAGCTGGAGAAGTTGACCCAGAAACTAATGAAGGATATGGAGCATCCACCCCCAGCAGAGGCTGCAACTTCTGGTGCGTTCCCTCAATGGACAGCAGTGGGATTAAAACTCCTGGTGGGCTTTTCAGCTCTCCTGATCCCTTTCCTCTTCCACTGACAGAGCTCTGCGGCTTCTGCCGGAAGCCGCTGTCACGAACCCAGCCAGCTGTGAGGGCCCTGGACCGCCTCTTCCACGTGGAATGCTTCACCTGCTTCAAATGTGAGAAGCAGCTGCAGGGGCAGCAGTTCTACAATGTGGATGAGAAGCCCTTCTGCGAGGACTGCTATGCTGTGAGTCACTGGGCTGAAAGCTGATGGAGAGAACTGAGCTCACTGTGGTTGTTCTCTCTTGCTTTCCCTTCCTCCTTTCACCTTTCCTTTCTGTGGTGTAGCCTCAGAGGGGTGGGAGATAGGATTCATGTGCCTTACGTGTTTTCTTTGGGCTCAGAGCACCTTGGAGAAGTGCAGTGTCTGCAAGCAGACCATCACAGACCGGATGCTGAAGGCCACTGGTAACTCATACCATCCCCAGTGCTTCACCTGCGTGATGTGCCATACCCCTCTGGAGGGGACCTCTTTTATTGTGGACCAGTCCAACCAGCCTCACTGTGTGGATGACTACCACAGGTATGGAGAGAGCACATGCATGTGGTGTGTGAGAGAAGGCAGATTCCCTCACACCTCCTTTTTGCTACAGTATGGGTGTTGGGTTGCCCATGTCATCTGTCAGATGTGAAGTTAAAAACGAGTCAGCAAAGTATTAAAATGTCTTTCCACCTAAACATTTATTATCCCTCTGCTGCTAATGCCATTGACGAACACTGAGAATCCTGCCTTGAATGTCACCACAGTGGTCATGGTCTCCTCCGTGGTTCTGTGTTGCAGGAAGTATGCTCCACGCTGCTCAGTCTGTAGTGAACCTATCATGCCAGAGCCTGGAAAGGATGAGACTGTCCGTGTTGTTGCGCTGGAGAAAAATTTCCACATGAAATGTTACAAGTGTGAGGTAAGCCTGGTGGCCCCACCCCTCCCATGTCTCCGGTGCCCAGCAAGTGGGCACCTTTGTTACCTGTGCTGACCAAACACTGAAGTTGTTTAGAATGAATCTGGAGTGTTTTTGAAGCATGTTCAGAAAAAGATTAGGCATTCACAGGCATGAACACAGGCACTGTGCAGGATTGTTGCATTCTCTAACACACCAATACATCAGCTGTGTATAGGAGGGGGACTTGCTGGGGTTGCTCTCCCTTCAAAAGAGCATGTCCCATTAGCATCACTAGGGACAGAGCAGAGGGCTGTGATGGATCATCCTGACCCCGTGGGGCATTTCTTACGTCCTTGGATGCCTTCATCCTGTTCTGTGTCATCATTGATCTCCCTCTTCTTTTCCTGTTAAGGACTGTGGGAAGCCCTTGTCCATTGAAGCAGACGAGAATGGGTGCTTTCCTCTGGATGGGCACGTGCTGTGTATCAAGTGTCACACCGTCCGTGCAAAAACGGCGCGCTGAGGAGCTCGGAGGGGGCATTCCCTCGAGACCCTGCACTCAATACTCCCCTCCCTGCTGTTGTCCTACCCCTCTGCCTGACAGGGCAGACTGCTACCAATGGAGACTATGCCAGCGCAGTTTTTTACTCACGTAGGATTCACTGCTCCTAGACTTCACTCTGCACACCCACCAAGAAAAGAGCTCTTCTCCTGTCACTGTTTCCTGGCCACAGTGTATTCCAGGCTGGGGGCTGTGATCAAGGTGAGTGCACAATCGCTGTTCCCTCAAGACTCTGGAGGAGAAAGATCAGACCTCCACCACCGCCTGGTGGAAGAAGCAAGAAAGACCTGGTGGCAGGTGCTGGGAAGGGCTGAGAGCATCCTGCAGTTCCATGGAGCCAAGAACAATGATTTAACTTGAGAAGGTGGAAGCCTGCATCTCGGCACCACTTCTGTCTTTCGTTTTGTATCTTGTGACATCTCATTATCAGGATGTTTTACTCTGCCTGCTCCCTCACCTGGGTTAGAGTGTGGAGGCAGAAAGTAGTGGGAATCTGTTACTGTTGCTGGAAAAAGCTAACCTGCTATAGCTTTTCTGTCTCTAATGGATTTTACTGATTAACTGTCTTGTCATTTTTTTTCCTTAGCCAGATTAAACTGGCAGTGTTTGAAATACTACTCTGTTTCTGAGTTTGGAAACTTTTTTTTTTTAAAAAAAAAAATCTTTTTCCCTTCCCAAGATGAATTGTTTCCCAGTACGGTTTCTGGACAGCCAGGCTGGGAACCAGAGTAGCAAAGCAGTCCAAAGAATGCATGTTTACAAATAAAGACCGTCATAAGGACGGGCAGCACATGGTGAGGAGGCGTCTCAGTGCGTGGATGAGGATTCAGCAGACTGAGGAACGTCTCCTGTTCCAGCAGGGTTTCTTTCACTGCTGTCAGTGAAAGCTGCAGTGTATTTGCAATGTACTGTCTGGCTCCAAGTGTTACTGCACTGAGCCCCATTTCCTGGACTAGAAACTGTCTCAAACTGAACCAACCCTTTAAATAACAACACTGTCCAACCACTGTTTGCATTCAATAAAATGTGTGGTTTTTTCCATTAACCTGTGTCTGCTCTATTTGTTCAGCCACCCATGAGAACTGCTGTCTTTGGCAGTGGAACTGCCATTGTATAGCTTTTCTATCCATTGCCAAATGTGTGTAAGGCTATTCCACCCAACCTCCAGAGATCCAGGAGCCTGAACATGGCCTTTCTCTCTTTACTACTTGGTCTTCTTTCCAGACTTGTGTTTTTCTGTGCCTAAAGAGTAGCTCCCATTTAAAGCAGTAGAAGACAGCAGTTCAGTGCAGCAATACTGTAGTTTGCTTCACGGATCACTCGGAGGTGGATATTCCAGTGAGATGAAAGTGGATTATAATAAAAGTGCACACTTTGCTTTGCTCCTAACTGTTGCTTCTCAGAAAGTGTTTGTGCTTGATGTTTATGGTTCTAAGCATGGTACTGTGATGGGCACTGCAGGTGAAACTCCTCTTTGTGGTAAGCACCAAGGTATCTACGCTTCAGAAACATGAAACCTACTCTTGATCTCTTGCCAGTTTGGGGAAAATCTTTAATGACTCCTTGCAAATTGATCCAGTAAATGTCTTGAGGTTTTCTATAGAATGAGGAGAATAAACAAATCGTACATTTATTTTTCTTACTGTAGTTTTTGCTAGTTTTTAGGCATTGTTTTGAGAGGTTGGTCCTAGACCATGATATTTAAAAGCTTGTGCCTACGAACACCAAGGGAGTGCAGAGAAGAACAATGGGTAGAGGAGCACTAATTCTGCTCCTCCCAGAGCTATCAAAGGACCATAGCCTTGGTGTCTGGGTAGGGGACCTATCCAGTGGAGTCCATGGGGAAGGGACTGACCTTGTGCGTTAAAGGGAGATTTCCCCTCTGAGGGGGTATGGTATGTGCAGGGGGGAAATCAAAGGCAGGAAACAGGAGTGATCAAGGATAGGAAGCATCATGGGAAAAACTGACAGGAAAAGGGCACAGGAGGTGGCTGCACGTACACAGTGCACTTGTCTGGCCATGCCCTGTGTCATCAGTGCGGTCCGTCCTGTCTTCATAATAGCTTTTCTTTTTTTTGTGTTCCCTGTGCATGGAATCTGTTCTGTGCAAATGGATCTAAATGCCAGTAACTGGACAGGACAGACCTGAGTGCATGCATATTGTGTTGAGTGTGTATGTCCTTGCGTTACCACCAGCAAAATCAAGTCAGAGGAGCTGGTGAGTAAGGTAAGAGATTTGAGAGCCAGGGCATGGCATGGCTGTGGGTCTGGCTAAATCCTGTGAAGACCTGTGAATCAGCTTCTCAAGCTCCCAGGAGCTCTTGGGTCTGGAGACCAGCTGCAAGAGTTGAGTTTGCATCAGTGTCCTCATACACAGGGAGACCAGGGAATCCTGGAGCCAACTGCTGGGTAGAGCCAATGTCTAAGGCTAACTCCTGGAGGGCTCCAGGGTGTCTGTGTGCATGTCTGCATGCCCACCGCTGCAGCAGAGCTGCAGGCCTTGGGGATTTGCATATCCTGGTGCCAGCAACTGAGGAGAGCAGCTCAGGCTCCAGGGCATGGAGCCAGCTGCAGGCAGGATGGCTGCTCTTGGGCACTAGAGGGATCCATCGCATCCATGTATGTGTTTCCCTCTAACAGGTTCATCCTGATCAGCCAGAGCTGGGAAGAGGATTAGGCTGTTTGTGCTGTGCTTGCATGTCTGCTGTGCTCTCTGCCTCCGGCCAGTCATGTACAGTGTGTGTGCGTTTATATACGTGCACACATTATAGACTTGGGGATTTTCTGTGCATGAGTGCCTATTGGGAATGCATGCTCGGGCTTGCTACTGGCTGTACCCTGAGGACATGGAACTGAACAGCCTCTTCTCTACCAGGCCAGCTGATTCAGCAGCTCCTAACACTTGAAGTTGGAGGGGACCTCCCTGCTCAGAGCAGGGTCAACCAGAGCAGGTTCCTTTTTAATATCTTAAAGGATGGGACGTGGATAATGTCTTACAGCATTAACAACTCTCACTATACATTTTTTTCTCACCTTCAAATGGAATTTACTGCATTTTGGTAATTGCATTAGCTGCTTCTTTCACTGGATACTACTGAGGAGTGTCTGGCTCCTTTTTTACTCCCATCAGGTATTTATACACAATGAGAAAAGCCACCCAAACATTCTCCTCTTGAGGTTGAACAGCCTCCAGCTCTCTCAGCCTCTCCCTGTATGTCAGATTCTCTACTCCCTTCAGAATCACAGGGCCTCTCACTGGACTTGCTCCGTTAAGTTTATATCCTTCTTTGTACTAGAGACCCCAAAATTGGACACAGCACTTCAGATGTCTGACCAATGCTTAAATAAAGAGGAATAATTGCCTCTTTCCAGTTACTGGTGATGCATTTGCTGAAATGCAGCCCAGGTACTGTTGTCTTCTTTTGCTAAAGAGCTCAGGTGTAACTTTCACAATGACCTGCAAGTCCTTTCTTGCATAGCTGCCTTCCAGTCCCCAGTTTGTACTGGCGCGTGAGACTATTCCTCCCCGGTTGTGAGGCTCTGCATTTCACTCGGTTCAACTTCCTGAATCTCCTCTCTTCTCACCCCTATTAAGGTCCCTCTGCATGGCAGCACAAGCATCTGATGTATCAACCACTCCTACTTCTCTATCACCTGCAGTGACAGGCCAAAATTTACATGTGCATGACACAAGCTCATAAACTTGTGTCAGCCTCACCAGGGCTTATCTGCTAGCTTGGGTATCTTCCAGGTAGCAACTTTACTGGTTATCTGTACTTCATGTTAAAGACATCTGTTACTAAGACTGACATAGTAAAATCTCAGAGCTTTGCTTTTCAGCTCTCTATTTTGCTATAGTTAAAGTGACTTGAGTTGCCATGGTCTGTGTTGAATAGAAACCAGTCTTCTTGCATCAGGTTGCAGTTCTTTAGATCTCTGCTTCTTAGCCCTCTTGTCATCTGTGGTTAAGCACGGCCTTCCCAGAAGCAGCAGTGTTAATTTATAGCCTTAAGACTTTAGAGCATTATACAGTTACCTCTAGCAAGTCACACTGCTGAATGTGTAGCACTCACCTTCACCAACCTAGACTTGAAAAATAAATCTTGAGGTAGCTACTCTTCCCAAGTGAAAGTCTTAGGAACATCAGTGAAAAATTTTCTTTCTCCTGGACAGTCTAGTCCGCAGGAGAAAGAAGTACTATTCACATGTATTTCATCAAACACAGCAGTAGCTGCTAATATTTATGATTTAGGAATAATCACAGGATCTGTAAAACAATGGACTTAGAATGTTAGATAGATATGCCTGTAAATGGGTTGAAATAAAAAAAAAATATGAAGTGACCACCTGCAAAGGTACCCTTTAATCCTAATGCAATTGCACTCCCATGTTACATCTGCAGTTAAATGGACAAAGACTATCGGCTGAAACAACAGAAGATGGATGTAAGAACCCTGCTGGGACTCACGATACGTATGCTAAAGGTCTCAATCTCACATTTGAAATAAACCAAAGAATTCCAACACAGCCTGCTCTGCCACAGGTTTATTTACAAAATATTATTTACAGACTATAACTGTCTTGAGAGCTGATAAATAATAACATTTCCTCCACAGAGAAGGAGTAAGACAGACCACCTACACATTTTTCTGTTACAAATACCCTATTCCAGCCAAACAAGACTATTGTCTCTTTTTAAAAGGGGCAGAGAAAAATGGATATGTAAAGGGTTTTCTGTCCACGGCATAAGAAAAGGTATTAAGCAGTTTTGAGATACATAAATCTCCCCTCTGAAGTGTGCATGTGCAAAACAGCAACATGCTGAGGTCATGTGAACACACAACTTACAGCAGGGTGTGCTTCTACTCCCAGTTTCTCCTCCAAAGAAAGAAGTACACCACAGGGTGGTGTTCACAGCAAGAACAGCTGCATTAAAAAAATATATGCCTTACTAGCAGCCTTGTGAAGGACTGAATAGTTTGTTCCTGATGCAAAATAAGAAAGACAGAAGGGTGCTGAAGTGAGAAGGAATGTATGCCAAGAAATGAATGAGCCCTGTCTCTACCCATCTGTATTCTTGTGCCTGCTCCCTGAATGTCCCAGTCTATCTTGAACCTCATCTCCAATCTTAAAACATTATCCACCACCCTCCACCCACTTTGTATTCCATGTGATATACTGAGGGTCTGAAACTCCAATATGTGGACTACAGGGCCGACTTAGCACTGCACAGAGTGGACTGCAGAAGACAGAATAGTTTCGAAGACCAGTGCTCTGAAACGGACTGATGGCTGCTGTAGAGCTAAAGCAAGGGGGAACAGAAATGAGAGCAGGTGGTGTTGCCTCATGAGCTTTTTCAGTTCTATTTGTTTTGCTTTGCTTGTCCAGTCACTCATTTGGAAGCAATTGCCATAGGAATGATTCCAAGTGATATCTGGTAAGGATGGGCATTTTTCAAACTTAAGAATGCAACGAGTGATCACTCCTTAAAGCCTTGGATGCTGCACAAGATCCTCTTCTGGTGGCCTGGAAGTGACACTCCCATCTGTTTCAAGTCCCTGAAAGAAATGGGAAAAGAAAGGAAAAAATGAATTGCCTATTCTTGTTCCTTAGGGACAAAGGTGTGGTTAAGGGCAGAAACAGTTACCAAGCATTAGTTCAGAAAGCCTCCTTTTCCTCAGTGCCTCCTACTGCACCTACGTTTTCTCTGGAGGGGAAAAACTTCTAGATATTCCTACCCTTTTCTGGCTTTCTCTGCCTACCCAGTTAACTGACCTCTTCTACTTCGTGGCTAGGCCTGTGCTCCCAGTAAATCAGGACTTGTGATTAAATCAGCTTGTGATAGGAGCCATGTCTCAACCCTTCAGCAGGTCTGTGCCTGCTCATTGGTTTCATGAGTTTAATTGCCCTGGCTGGAGCTGGCTGAACATCCCTGACAAAAAAACACAGCTGTTCTGAGTCCTTCTGAGGAGCCCAGAAAGATTTGCTCTATGACACAACAGTGCCTGGCTCATGGAGTAGGGAGGGATATCATTAGTCTATATAGTGGCAAGGAAATTATCTTACAAAGTCCTACAAGGATGGGGAGATGGTCAGATAAGAGATCTGTTTGCCATCTATTCTTTCCCCTTACTGTTTGTCTCTGTGTGAGTTCGGAGCAGCTGAAGAGCCCTGAAGAGCCTCAGGCATGGACATGGATAGTTGGGGAATCAGTCTCAAGTTTGGGCTGCTCCCAGTTCTGGGCTGATTCTTCCCTTTTAGGTCAAGAAGCTAGTCCACTTCCATTTCACTGCATGGAGAAGCCTTCCAAGTAAATATGAGTTCCTGTGTAGCACAGCCTGAGGAGCCTTGTGGGAGCCTGGCCTGCACTTACTCAGCAGTGAGCTCCAGAATGGACTCCATGGTGTCCAGGCCGGCAGTGCGGAAGTTGGAGATGTAGCGCTTCATGCGAATGGATTCCAGCCACTCAGGGATGGATCGGTAGGGGATCCCATCGGATCCGCTGCAGCTGGGGAGACGGAGTGTTACCCTGGAGACACATAAACCCTTCATCAGCCAGGCAACCACCTGAAATGCACTAGGAAACAGCAACCAAAGGGGAAGCAAGCACCCTCCGCCAGGGCTGAGCCACCTAATCTGCTCTCTGCACAGTGAGGTCAGAGCAGGCCAATAATGGCTCTGCCCTCTGTCACCAGGAGACAGAGATGACCACTATCTGCTGCACACAGAGCACACAAGATGCATCTTTACAGTCTGCATTGATCACACTGCCTCTCCTCCTGCTGGGGACAGGGAGGTGAACAACCCCTGCTCCTCTGGTGACAGCCTGATTACCTGGGATCAAAGTCTGCAACAGGCCGGAGGAGCTGGGGACTTGAGATGAAATGTTGCAGCTGTGCCCGGATTTCCTGAAAATGAGGCCGCCTCATCCGATCGTGTGACCAGCAACTCTTCATGAGTTCATAGAGGATAGATGGGCAATCCACAGGCGGGGGGAGCCGGTACCCATCCTCTAAGCTTTTCATCACCTGCACAGAGGACACAGAGAAATCTGGCCAAGAGCAGAGAGTGCTGAAGAGGAGCCAGAGGCCTCCCTCCATTTACCACTTCACAGTGTGCAGTCAGGTAGGGGTTGGTGCAGGTTATATGTGTATGACACAGGGTTTGGGCAGCATGGCACAAGATCAAGACACCTAAGGGATGCCAAAAACTTAAGTGGCATATGCATGTATTTCCAGTCCTTTACTTTATAGTTTAGCTCCCATTTGCCACTCAGGACATGTTCATGAGAAGTGAGGACAAAATGGTCCTGGCACAGGCACAGTGAGAGAAGGGGAACCAGACTCTGAGGAATAATTTTAACAACACATGCTGAGCCTAGAATGAGACCAGACATAATGCTCCAGAGCCAAAGGAGAAAACAAAACCAGTAGAAGTACCTCCAGAACCAAATGCCATGGCTGATTTAAACACCCTTCAACTTGGCCTAGTGCTGTTGACACCTCAGTACTTATTGCCGTTGACTTAGTTACCCTGATTTTCAGCAGGGAGAGAAACACAGTAGTTATGTGTTCAAAAGAAAGTCAAGACTACAGGCTGAGGGAGATCTACAGAAGTTTTTCCCCATATGCCTGATTTATTTTTTAAATCAGCTCTTGAACTCAGCGTCTGTTACCTCTTGATTGGTCATGTGCCCATATGGCTTGTCACCAAATGACAGCACCTCCCACATGACGATTCCAAAGCTCCAGACATCACTGGCTGAGGTGAAAATGCGATGGGCAATGGCCTCAGGGGCTGTCCATCGGATAGGAATCTTACCACCCTGTAAAAGAGCAGAAACATAGCGTATCCAGCATGTATCATTGAGTTGTATTTCTCCAGCCTTTTCATACAAGGACCTTACAAAGTGGTTCAGAGATTGAGCCCACTTCATTTGAAGTGACATGTAGCCACCCCAGGGAAATTTCTCAAAAGAAGAGAAATATTCTTGGAAAGTAAATGAGTTTAAGCCCTCTGTTCAGCTGAACACTACACAAAATCTCTGCTGTGGGAGTAAGAGCCTGACACCAGTCACAGCCCTGCTTTGAAGGACATCACACATTAGAATTACTGGAGCTTTCATTGAAAGAGACATGGAGATGACTCTAGTCCAAAATTCTGATCACAGCAAGGCTATCTTCAAAGCTAGATTTAGTAACTGAGTTCAAGAGATCAGACCTCCTACTTTGCTTCTCATTTTAACGCCACAGTCCCTCTGAATTTTTGAGCATACAAAATCAACATGGACTCCAGGGACAAAAGTACCACCTTCTGCACCATCCACACCATGACTTGCAGTTTTACTACAGATTTTCCTCAGAGCCTACAGTTAATTTACAGAGCTGTAAGACTGACTTTGTGTTACCTTGGTTTCATAGGTTCCTTCTGCATCATTCTCCAAAATTCGGGAGAGACCGAAGTCAGACACCTTGCACTGGAGGCTGCGTGTTACCAGGATGTTGCGAGCAGCCAGATCCCGGTGCACATAATTGTGCTCTGAAAGGTAGGTCATGCCAGAGGCTATTCCCTGCAGCATGCTCACAAGCTGCACAGGGCTAAATTTTTCCTCATTTTCCTGCATGGAAGAAGAAGTGAGAGAAGTGTCACCAATCCGCCTGGTTTCTAGTCACTGACCTTATCAACACACAGAAGTGGACAGTGGTGAACAAGCGAAAAGGCAATGCTGCAGCCCAAAGGCTCCAACAGGTTGTCACTAAGGGACTGGTGGTGGTCTCCAGTCATCATTAAGCAGTTACATTTCAACTACCAAAGATGCCACTCTTGTCACTGAACAAATTGGATGGCATTAAGCTTCTGCTGCCAACACTGGAAATGTCAGTAAGCAGGAAGTAAGTGGATGTCAGGATCTTACTTCTAGATTTATTTTAGGGCCCTAAATCCAGGTCAAGTGCAAGTTCTGGTAGTTCACAAGCCTATTACAGATTGGAGTTTCTCACCCGGAGGAAGGTATCCAGTGCTCCATTTTCCATATACTCAGTGATGATCATCATTGGCCTCCCTTAAGGAAGACAAGAGGGTTTCAGCCTTTTTCAAATTCTCCCACTCTTGCCTTTCAAAGCTCTCCATATTCCCCAACACAGAGAACCACGTCCAACCCCAGCTAACACCCTCATTCCACTGGCACAGCTGGCTGCCCCTTCTCCTTACATATCTCCCAATGACCTTGTACTCCTCCTTGTATTGCACATATGACCCTGCAGCATCCCTCACACTATCCTGTCTTCTCATCTACTCACCAGCCCTAGAAGATTTCTCCTAGCACTGCCTCAGGACTCTGTTGGAAATCCATACCTCTCCTCCTCCCCTCATTCTCTGACATGACAATGCCTGTCTTCTCCCAGCACAGCCTCTCTGACAGAAAACTCTCTAAGAAAGGCCTGAGAAGTGTGCCAGTTTCTGCTCTCATCCCAGAACTCTCTGTCACACACTCTAACTTACTTTTGGTGACAACTCCCTCCAGACGCACAATGTTCGGGTGATTGAACTGCCCCATAATTGTTGCTTCACGCAGGAAGTTCCACCACTGTGAGTCTGAATATGTTGACTTCAGAGTCTTGATGGCAACCACAATACGTTCTTTCCCTGGGAGTCGCAGGGACCCACGATAGACCTCCCCAAACTCCCCTGAAGACAACCAGAGACAAAATGTCACACATGAACTCGAGGATAGGCAGCAAAACAACAGTGTGGGGAAACTGAAAGATGGGGAGAGCAATAAGTAACTCACCCTCTCCAATCACATTCTCCATGGTGACACAAGAGATGTCCAGTTCCTTAGTGAATTCCAGAACCCCTCTGCTGGGGTCATCATATGGTTGCAGGTCTACATAGGGTTTCAACCAGACCTTCTCTGTGGTAAAGGGAAATAAAAGAGCAAATTAACCTGCCGACTCTTTGGACAACCATTTTAAAGCATAACTACAAAAGCAGAAGTGAATCCACCAGCTTCTGATGCAGAAAAAAAATCTATCAAACCTACACTGAAGAGTAGAACTGTTGTGGGAAGAGGCATATTATAGCAGAAAATCTATGCCAGTGTCTGGTCTCAAACTAGTGCTTCTTTTCATTCCTTCCATCACATTCTAGGCTTCCCCCTGGTTTTATCACCCCTTTGAACCTCACCTCGCTCAAAGCCCGAAGTATTGTAATCTGGCCGTGCACGTCTCCGACGGCCCCTCCTGGAACATCAGAAAGGGTCGTGAAAATAAAATGGTCAGCAGATAGCAAAGGGAAAAAGCAAGACTTCCAAGGCTGGTTGGTTAGGGACCAGGTTGGTTAGGGTTCAGGGTAGCACAGAGCAAAGTGGAACCACACACTGCACCTACTTGGAAAAGTACAGCTGGCAATAAAATGTGATGCTTCATTAATATTTAGAAATGGAGTTTTGTTTTCATACAGGGAGTTCTATGCTGAGTTACAGACAAATTTATGTTTATTTCATGTTTTCTGTACACTTTAAGTAGAATATCTGATTTTCTTAAAACCAAGCAATAGAAGCCTTAATAGACATTGAGAAGTAAAGTAGCATTCTATATATGGGTAGAGGAGCCCAACAGTAATGGTATGTGGAAAACAGTTTGAAATTCCTGGATACATGTATTACCACTCAGCTGGTCTGCAGCTATAGAAATGATTGTACCTTAACAATGTTTTTATTCCTCTTTAATGATAACAATATGATACTTCTGGATTATAATGAAACTGAGAGATCATGACACATTCCTCTGCTCCCAACAGCAAACATTATCTTACAATATCAATCTCCCAAACCCTGCTAATCAAAATTATTTACTGAGACCCTTTCCATCTTGCTGAAGCACACTGGTGTATTTCTTCTCTAACTAATCTCTACGTACACAATGTCCTGTGGGAAATTAACCTCCCTTTCTCAAACTTGCATAGCTCAGCTCTTCCTACATCTATACCTTTCTCAGTACCAAAAATCAATACTTACTTTTGCCGAAACATGAGAAATCCCACAATCAGCCCAATAAATAGGAGAACTCCAAAGATAATAGAGACTATGACTCCACCAGACAGAGCTCCTGTGTCTGCAGGAACAAAGAGAGAGGCCATATCACTTAAAAGACTAATATCTATTTGTCTGGAACATACTGACCAGCTTCTACCAGTTAATGGCATTAGGCAAGTTACAGCCACGTGTCTTCCAGGCAGCAGAGCCACCAGATGTCTCCTTCCATTTATGTTTTCAAGCTAAAGCTAGGCATTTCCACAAAGTACATTTGAATTCATCAGAGAAAATGCTTTATTACTTCTGCTGGTCTTTTAAAAACCTATTTCCCATAATTTAAAAAAAAATAAAATTAAGAACTTAATGGAGAAGTAATGAGAATCTACATATTTTTAATATTTTCCCAAAGAGATTTAGGAAAACATCCAGAAGAAAGAAAAATCCCCAATTTTTTTTTTTTTTTTAATAAATGTGTAAATTTTAAAGCAAGGAACAGATGATACACTGTGTATTTGATACAATGTGTTTCATCTGTGTAGGGAAGTGTTTCCTAATATCTAGTCCAATGGTCAGCATCCATAAAGCCTAATTAACACTAGTTATTCTTCCTCTGACTCATCCCACTAAAATTATTTAAAAATCACCAGCTTAGTTAAGCAGAAATCAGGAGACAGAGCTAATGTCCTTGTTTTGTTAAAATCAAAAAGCAAAGATTTGGAAGGTGAAATAGTGTCTTTACCAATAAAATGGGCAAGCTTTTAGAGACATAGGACTTCTGCAGGAATTTAAGGGATCTAAATTAGCAAATTCAAATTTAAATCAAAAATTGACACTCCCTGAAAATTCTGCTACACTAATATTCCTAGACCATAACAGCTAAAAAAATTCTCCTAGTATTATCAAACAAGAACTCTCATCAAATGAAACCTTGCTGGCACTTCTTTTTAATCCCTTTCATATTCAAAATACTTTTGTCTTGGCATGATAAAGTGATCAATTTTCATTTCAAATAAAATATAGTATTGATGAAAGTATTTTCTAACTTATTCTTTCTTAAAACAATTGTGCATGCTAATTTACGTCTTTTTCACAGGGCCTTTGTACATTATTTAATTGGTTAAACATCATTTTTGTTATCATCATTTGTTACTGTGACTTCATGAAGATTTTACCTAAAGCTCCTGGTGCCAAAAAGGGCTCAATCTTTATATTCCAGTAATGGTATCCCAACTCCTTATCAGCTTTTACACTGTTAATTTAACTATTTAGTTACATTAAGGTAGGCCTTAGCTTTCTTCCTTGTGTCCTTATTTCATTACAACAAAAGTAGTCTTTCAAATGTAGCACTTCAATACATGTATTTCTAAAGTTATCCATAGGGTCAAAAGGAATGAGTCTGTGTAATGAAGAGGGAGCAAATTCCATTACAGAAAACTTTAAATTAAGGGGAAGTTTCTGGGCGAGCCAGGGAAAGAAGAGGTTGGATGTTCTTTGACACAGAACAAAGGTCTTTTAGTGGCCCTGGAAGCTTGGCCTTCTACACATTGTCCTTCGGTGAAGAACTTTTTTCAGTGGCACATACCATCCCTTTGGGCATTCAGGAGCTGGACTACATACAGTGGACCTGATAAAGCTGGAAAAAAATAGTGCTGAGGTCTTCTGAGTTCTCCTTTTCACTAGTAAATGGCACACAAAAGGAGGCATAATGTAATCATTTCACCAGCATTCAAACTTAGAAACATTAGCCAAAATTAAAATGTCTTTCAAGAACTAAATGAAGGTCTGGTTAAGTATTGTGCCAGTACAATATACTAAACTGAGACTGATCAGGTTTAAAGGGGAAAGTGCAAGCAGATTTTATAAGACAGCAAGGAAACAAGAAAAATGCCTTTTGTCTTTACAAAGCAACAGGCTTGGCTCTGGTGACAAGGAACTCAGGAGAGTGGTGTCTTGCCTTACAGCCAGCAGAACAAAAAGTGATCCATGTGTCATGAGAACATACAATCTGATGGGGAAGTGAGTTTCTCCCAGTTGGGATACCAGTGCTTGTCCTTTACCTGGTGGAAGGGTGCGAAACTCCTGCTCTGGGGAGTAGGGCCCAGGCCCAAGGGGTGTGATGGATCTCACACGGAGCAGGTAGGCTGTGTCTGGCTGCAGGTCTCTCAGAGTGACATTCGGCTCAACAAGGTGCTTCACTGTGTAACGTGCCTCCTCTCCCTGCAGGCACCAAACAGGATCAAGTAACAGATACATGCTGAACAAGAGAACACTTCCAGCCCTTTGGGTAGAAGGGGGAAGAGCAAATCAGGCAGGCCTTACCTTCTCAAAGAACATGACCTCATACTCTACTGAGGTCCGGCTGCGTTGCCGTGGGGCAAGCCAAGAAACAGAAAGACTACTGTCATCTCTCTGTGTCAGAATAAACTGGGATACTGTCACTGGAGCTGCAGTGGGAGAGAATAGAGAACATGAGGGAGAAATACAAACAAAATGCCAGCTACATCCTCTCTCCACCAGAAGCTCTGGTCATACCATGCAACTGGAACTGAGTCTCATTGCCACTGTCATTTTTCTCTTGTGTGGTGGAAGGGAAATGAGATCTCTGGTTGTAATTAATTGCTTTCCATGAATAGTGTGCTTCTGCCCCAACAATGGAAGCACAACTTTGTTTGGCCCTCAACACAAAATCTGTGCTCCAAGAAATTACATTTATTCCAGGACTGCACTGAAAGTGTCCAATTTTACATAAAAAATGTCAGGATTTTATGCTCCTACAGCAGCAGTAGCACAGCTATCCTATGTAATGATTTATGAATGCAGCTGCATTGCATAAGAGTACAGTGAAACTCAAAGCTCAAAACGTCTCAGCTGACTGCAAATGCATGCTGTTCATGAATAAAAAGATAATTCTCAAGACTCTGCAAGGACTGAGGAGTTAAGCCTGGTTCTCTCCTTGTCCTTCATCATCATCAGGAAGTGATGAGGCAAGCCAAAAGTAGCTCAGCTTTTCTAGCTCACAGTAAGCCTGCCCCCGCATAGCATCAGGAGGAAAAGTCATATTTTGTTACTAAATTGGAACACAGGGAATGCACCAAGGGCTGTTGAGCACTGTGATGTCATTTTTCTATAATCACATTTCACAATGCTCTGGAAAGTATTTACAGGACAGCCAAACTAGCCAGATTGAAGCTAACCAATAGAAATGTGTCAAGATTTAACATCCTCATCCCTCCATGCTTTCAAAATCTTCTTTTTTCCCCAGTTACACTAGGGTTTCTGTTGTGTTTGGTGTTTTGCAATATCTGAGTCACGGGAAATATTTCATGACACAGCCCTCGTTCTTCCTGTCACACAGGTAACAATACTTAGGCTGTGTGACAGGGAAGGCTTCATCCTCCTCACCTCTGCTAAGTTCTTGGTGGATTCATAGCTCTTAGTGGATAATGATTACTGCTACTTTGATTTGCAAGGAATATGACTAATGGACTTTACATGCCAGAGGCAGAGGTACTTTAGAATCCTTATCATACCATACCAACACATGTGTCAGGCAGAAGGAGAAGATGGAGAAAGCTTAAATATTCAGAGAGAGATTCTTCTTCCTTTTCGTGATGAGCAGGAAGAAATTCTCTCAGTTTCTGCTAACCTGCATGTCCAACTGAGACCCAGACAGCTGGAGCAGTTCTCTGTGGAGCAGGTCCCATTCCTGAGACGCCATTATGGGCTTCCACAGTGAATGTGTAATTGGTGTAAGCTTCTAGGCCATCCACATCCACTGCAGGTTTTGTGAGACCAGAGGCACTGGGGGAGAACACCACACCAGCCTCACAGGGCTCACAGGACAGGAAATGGCAGCGCTGGCAGAAGACTGTGTAAGTCAGGTCCTTCCTCCCGCCGTGGTCACTGGGTGGCTGCCACCACAGACTCAGCTGGGTGCCAATGAGGGAGAAGCTGACATTTCGGGGAGCCGAGGGTGGGCCTACAGTGAGCACAAAAGAAAGTGTCAGAGCCAGCTGTTAATGCCCAAAGTTCTGCAACACCTTCCCATCTGCTGACACATTTCAAATGGAGCCCTCTCTTCACCACAGCCTCTGTCTCTGATCTCTCATCCCCATTATCCAAACTTTTTCTTCCCCCATATCACTGTTCATGAAATCACAGAATGGTTTGGGTTGGATGAGACCTTAAAGATCTTCTAGTTCCAACCCCCCCACCATGAGCAGGAACCTCTTTCACTAGACCAGGTTCCTCCAAGCCCCATCCAACCTGTCCTTGAACACTTCCAAGGATAGAGCACCCACCTGTTCCAGTGTCTCATCACCCTCATCATAAAAAATTTCTTCCCTATGTCCCATCTAAATCTACCCTCTTTCAGTTTAAAACCATTGTCCCTTGTGCTGTCACTACAGACCTTGGTATAAGAACCCTTTCTTCATCTTTCTTGCAGACCCTACAAGATGATCTCCACGAAGCTTTTCTTCTCAGGCTGAACGATCCCAACTCTCTCAACCTTTCCTCATAAGAGGTGTTCTATCCCTACAGTCATTTTAGCCCTCCTCTGGACCTGATCCAATAGGCAGGTACTTGTCTCTCTTGTACTGGGAGCCCCAGACCTGGATGTAACCCTCCAGATGAAGTCTCACAAGAGCAGAGTGGAGGAAGAGAATCCCCTCCCTCACCCTGCTGGCCACATACTTTTGGTGCAGTCCAGGATACACTTGGCTTTCTGGGCTGCAAGCTCACACTGCTGGCCTATGCCACATTTTTCACCCACCAGTACCCCCAAGTTTCTCTCTGTGGTGCTGCTCTCAATAAGTTCATCCCCCAGTCTGTGTGGATATTGTTCTTTCTTTCAGTGTGCAACTCACGGGTGCAAGCAATGTTCTGGCCCTCGGAAGGTGCTCGGTAGAAGCCTGCATTGCAGGAACAAGATGTGGCCCCTGACTCGTTGGACAAGCTGTTGGGGGGACACTTCAGGCAGCGTTTAGCATCCAGGGAATGGCGGTAGAACCCTCGCTGGCAGGCTGTGGAAGGACAAATAAGATAATCAATAAACCCAGATCAACAAAATAAAACCCTCCTGGCAGTTTTGCTCAGCTTCTTGAACACTCCTTTATCTGCCTCCATTTTTTTAGTTCACAGAAATATTTAGGTTGGAAGGAACACCTGGACACCTAGATCAACCATCTCAGAGCAGACAGAGAGAAGATGCAAACTCAAGGTAGCATCAGTATTATGACAGGACTTGCAGTCTGAGGAAGGGGAACTAATTCCTCACAGATGCTGTATGAATACAGAGTCCTGTCAACCTCAAAAACTTCCAGTGTAAACCCAGACTGGTCACCACCTGTGTCCTTCAAGCTTTCCACACCATAAATAAGAACCATAAATAGCAGCTACAAACTCTTGCACTCCTCAGAGTCTTCTGGTTTCTGACTTCATATGGGGTAGCCAGTAGGATTTTTAGCATGAGCATCTTTGCCGATTTCAAGTGTTGTACCAGAGGATTGCCTAGCAGGGCCGTGGGGAGTATCTAGGAAGCTATCAGTTCACCTCACAGCATCGAGTGTAACTGGCTATGGAGCCAACACAGACTGCGAGGGAATAAGTGTCACGTGTTTTCTACTGCCAGTCCTACAAAAATGAGCAGCCACACTCTCTTAGCATAACATCTGCCAACCTGTTTTTGCTGTGTTACTATTAGTTCAATCCACAGAAGCACTGGTCAACTTGCCAGTTGTCTCAAGGTCAATGCTCCACCTCTATGGTTGTGTAGCTGGGAGAAGAAAATCAGTGACAGAGCTTAAGGCAACCTGTGAATTTAATTGTTTGCCAGCCTGTGTCAAATGGATGAAATGTTCTTTAGCTAAAGAAACATCCAACATATTGCTAATCAGATGGTTGAGAAATGCATACACTAATTTTCTGCCAGAGCTACCACTTTGCATTTAACCTGCACATTGAGGGAATGACCCTTTTTATATTGCACTATAAAAGCAACAATATCCTGTGTGATGCCTCAGAAGATCCCAGTGGAGAAAACCATCTGTTCAGGAGCCTCACACAAATGGCTTACTGTGGTAGAGTATAGTATAGGAAATTATTCTTTATCCAGAAGACAAAAAAAAAAACAACCCAGCCATTCCTACTATGCGACACAGAGGAATACCTGAGGGACCTTGAAAACTTTCCACTAACACAGGCCAAACAAGACTACTCATCATCAGCCTGCAGAAGGGATGCTTAAAGAGCCCAGAAAAGAGAAATAATCACAAGTAGGAGCAACCAGCACCTTCTGATTCCAGGAAATGACAGAACCACTCAGGAAAATCTATCATTCTGAGATACAATCATGCAGCTATGTGATTAATGATAGCAAAGGCCATTGAAAATAATTAAAAGGCTCAAGTATTGATTGTCACAGCCCAAAAGGATTCCAATTATACTCCAGATCAAATCATCCCTTTGAGAAACAGGCAGTAAAAGTTACTTTGATCTTCAGGCTCACAACTGAGAACACTTCCTAACATGCTGGACTGAAGATGAAAGTTTTGAGGCCTTCTGCTACTTTGCTCCAGCTAAGATATGAGAGTTCCTGACATTGAATCAGTTTGGGTCAGGAGAACTTTGAGATGAAAAACAAAGGAAGTGCGTGGCCACCTGCTTGTATAACACAGGTTCTGATGTTGCCTGTATAATACTACCTGCATGACACAATATAAATACACTGTTATCAGGCTGAGACCGTCTGCAAGTAAATTACAGAAATTTGGGGTTGGGAACCTTTTACAAGAATCACAGAATCAATTAGGCTGGAAAAGATCTCTGAGATCAAGTCCAACCTGTGACTGAACACTAACTATCATGTCAACTGCACTGTGGCACTAAGCACCACGCTCAGTCTTTCCTTAAACAGCTTTAGGGATGGTGACTCCACCACGTGCATTGGCAGCCCACTCCAATGTCAAATCACCCCTTCTGTGAAGAAATTCTTCCTAACGTCCAGCCTAAACCAGCTAAAGACTGTGTCCTCTAGTCCTGTCACCCCTTGCCTGGGAGAAGAGACTGATCCCCACCTGGTTACACCCTCCTTTCAGGTGTCTGTAGAGAGTGATAAGGCCTCCCCTGAGCCTCCATGCTGGACACCCCCAGCTCCTCCAGCCACTCCTCGTAAGACTTGTGTTGCAGAACAGGTAACTCCGACCCGAGGAGAGCCTCCGTTCCTCCAGTTCTGAGCTCCAGAGCCACTCCAGCCCAGCGCCCACATCTGCTGTCCCACCGGCCCCTCCGAGCAGGAGCTGCCTTGCGGGGAGACATCAGCCTGGCAGGGAGGCCGCAGGGCGGGAGCTGCAGGGCTACCCGGGCCGCAGGGACAGAGCCGGGAGGCGAGGGCAGGACCGGGGACACCGGCGATAAGNCTCGGCCCCCGCCCAGCCCCGCTGGCCCCCGGCTTCCCCGGGCCTTGGGTACCCGCTCCGGGCGGCGCGATGGGAAAAACAGGCCTGGGAAAGGGCCGGCTCGCCAAGCACCAGAGGGCAGAGAGGATGGTTGGGGCTCTTCCTTCATTCCTTATTCCTGCAGGTGCCCCTCGTGAGTCTGCCAGCCAGGCCGGGAGGGCTGCAGGCACCCAGACCGGGGCTGACGGGGAACTCGGCTCACCTGCCGCCCTGCAGAGCCCAGCAAGGAGCACAGGCCGGGGCACAGCCAGCCTCCGTGGGTACAGCAGATTACATGCTGGAGGAAGTTAATCACGAGCTCTGGGTTTATGGGCAACAAAGTCTGAATGCTCTGGGGCAGGCACGGCTTTTCTGGGACTGTGGCGTGGCTGAGCCATTCTGCACCCAGCAGAGCTTTATACAGCTGGGAATTCACTGAGACAATGAGGGAACTATTTAAGGACCTGACCCTGTGGGTTTCTGTTGTCTCCTGTCCTGCAACAGAGGTCAGATTCTTCTCCCTGTTTAAAAGCAGAGGTGCAGTTTTCCCTTTTTTTTTGCTCCCTACTTTAGGAAAAAAATCAGAGTCAGAATTACACTGCAAGGTCTTCCATCCTGTCACGCTTCACATGTCTGAAGAAGTCCTCTTCTGTTCTGAAGACAAAGTAAAAGCTGTGATTTCAGTCTTTATCCTGAGCTGGATTGCTCCCAGTCCATTGCACAGTCTGGTCTTTCCTGCCAAGGGAGCAGATCCTAAGATATCCCCCTGCATTCAACTTCTCCCCTGATGCTCCAACAGGACACTATTCTGGTCATGAGGTATCTCTCCCTACTCCTGCCAGGTTCTCCCCTCTTCCTTTCCTCTTTTGGGAGACCTCCTCGGTCCCTACTAATCCTGCTAAACCTACTTCTGGCTGCAGCTGTACCTGGGCGGAGTGGGATGAAAGCACAGATGTAGAATGAACCTGTGCTGCGATAGCAGGCGAGGCTTGTCCAGACATGACAGCTTCCCTGCCCCTTCCCACAGGAGTGCTCTCAGGAGGGCGGGGAGAGCTGTGTAGCACCTAAGTGGAAAAACTGGCTGGGCTGTGGAAGGAGAGGGGATTGCTGGAGGAGGGCAAGGATCTTGTGCTTCAACCTTCTCCAGCTCCCCAAGCAAAACCAGCAGCAAGCAGTAGGGATCCATAGAGACACCAGATCCCTGTAGCAGAGCAAAGCAGAGACATGGGGCACCTGCTGAATCTGAGAGCACTGCATGGATCCCTCTGGCCTTAGCCTTGTGCCATACAGCTCTGGCAACAAAAGCAGAGATCTGCTGTCTTTTACCTCTCTCCGTGCAGTAACACATATCCCCATATCCCACAAAACACCACACATGTCAAACTAAGTTGCCTTTAGAAGTTGAATCTTGTCCCCTCTGCAGCCAAGGGAGAGCCCTGCACTTCTTACTGCAACAACCCTTGCTTGCTGTGACTCCAGTACCCTGGTGACTCTTGATGGCTAATTGCTCTTCTTCAGAAGAGCAGGCACCACGGTACCGTGCAATATGCTTTACGTGGCTTCCCGTGGCAGAAGAGCAATCCCAGTCCAAGAAGAACGAGGGACAGAGGAGAAGCTTGTCCCCTCTGCCTCTCAGCTTTCTAGTCATGGGACAAATACCCTGCTCCGTGCGTCTAACCCGTCTGCCCTGAGAGAACAAGGCTGCTGTTCAAGAGTTGAGAACCAGTTGTTGAGTGAGTCAGTGTCAATCATATAGTTACAGCTCGCAGAAACTAGCTCCAGAGCTGGAAGCTCCTGGATGAAGCCCAAGAGGGAGTGGAGAGGTGTGTGCAGGTCTTACACCTGACACATGAGGAGAAAAATCACAACTGAAGAAGAGAAGCTTAGGAGGAGGTAAGGAGAAGGAAAGATACAAGATACAGAGGGTGGGCAAGGGAGAGGTAGACCACACTAACTCCCCTGATCCCACTTTCTGCTTACATATACTCTGATCTCTAGCTCTCTGGAACCTCTCCCATGGCCTACAGCTAGCGTCTGCATACTCACCTACGCAGCTCCCATCGACTTCCTCAAACCCCACAGCACAAAGGCATCGGCCCACTGGTACCAGCCACTCCCCGTCAGTGCTGCAGTGCATCCTGGGGGGAGAGCCCACTTCTTCAGCTGCGTACTCCACGCAGACCCCAGGCACTTCTGTCAGCCCTTCTGACCCTGCCAGCGTCTCTGGAAAACGGGCCAGGCCCCGCACTGCCTCTGGGCAAGTCTTGTAATACACTCGGACAGACACCATCGCTACACAAGCCCCAGAGTTCTGGAAAGCCAGGTAGAAGCCCCGGCGAGAGAGCTTCCCAATGGAGCACACTTCTGTGTTCAGCTGCATGGCTCCCGACTCGATGTCTCTGCTTGTGAAACTTCGATCTGCTGCCACAGTGTTGAGCTACATGAAAAAGAGAAAGACAACAGTTTTACCATCTGAGCAGAGCAGAGCAGCTGAGATACCCCATGCCTCTCAAGCCTCTTTTACACTAAAGCCTTTTAGGGGCTGTCTGGTCAACTGCTTCTAATGCCACTGCACTGCATACTTTCTTTTCATTTGGAAGAGGTGTTAAAAATGGAGTGGGCATCTTTTCCTGCTCTGTACCTTCCATCCATCATCTCCTTCAACTGCTTTGTAGTCATTCACTGCTCTTCTACAGTACCCTGTGTTCTGAGTCTCTGATTTTAGAGGTCTTCAGGAACTGCCCCTTACAGGAGCAAATCGTTTTTCTGTGACAATTTTCTTTGTTTGCAAATTGCATGCAGTAAATTCACAACACCACTCAAGAGTTGTGCTTTGAAACCAGCAGGTAATTACAGCCACTTGTTTTTAGGCTGTAGTTGCTGCAGTTCAGATCATCTACTGAAAGGTGCTCCTTGTGCAGCACTCAACATATTTCAGCACTGTAAGGTACTTGGGTGAAAAATGCTCCCGTGCTTTTGCATTCCAACTGCCTCTGCAAACAAAGTGAATGAGTGAGTGAGGATATTTTCCATGCTTGAGCAAATGGGAAAAGCCTCTCTGACACCCTGTGACATGGAAGAGCTGGACTGCAGGTGGGGTGGCCTTTCTTCTTGGTGGGAGAGCCTGATAACTGATCCTCTCCTCTGCAGGCCCCTTCCCATTGTACACCACCACCCACTCCTTGTAGTTGGATTGGAGATGAAAGGCTCTGTAGAGCAGCTGCATTTGGCAGGGATCATAAGGCATGTTTGGGAGTTGTGGAGGTATCACACAAATTCATGTTGTATGCTGCAGGGAAGGTGGAGGAGCACTGGGGTGGGAGGGGAATCAGTTACCAGAGATCTGCTATGCCTGTGGTGGCCTTTATTACTCTTTGTTTCCATCACATCCCATTTAAACTGCAAAGGAAGGGGCAGTGAAATAATTAGTGAAATAATTTAGGTCTGTGGCTTCTATTAGAACAGAACTGGTTAGAGAATTTCCTCTGAAAAAAAATAAAAATAAAAAAGCAGAGGTTCTCTGTTCTGCAGTTCCAATGTTTCCATGGAAAGAGGGCACAACATTGAGGAGAACAGCAGGTAAAATACAGTAGTGTTAAATACCTTCACACCGGGGAAAATTTCACTATAGCAAACTGTCACCTCCAGGTTTATGAAACAAGACCCTATACCTCATGGCAATCAGAGTAAATAATCAGGACTGCTGAGACCTGAACTGGATTCTATTCTTTGCTTGGTCTAATACTGTTTTTTTCCCTAAGACAAGTAAATTTTCTTTGGTCTCTGCTTTACTCTTTCTAAAAATTGGTGTAACCATCCAGGCCTGTCACAACCCTTTAGAATCCTTACCTATGTGGTTAAATAAGAGGTTACGCAGAACACAGGTCTGATCTCATTTGAAACCTTCTATGCCTCCTGTGGGAAAGACTGCTCTGAGCATCACAGAGGGCACCGGGGGTAAAGTTTACTCTAAGGACAACTCTAACTATCCATGCCCTTCCCCAGATGCTGGTTCTCCTGGCCTGTCCCAGCCAGCAAGACACGCCTAGCTTAAGCTGAAAGATATGACAAGTTTAAGCTGAAAGATATGACTCAGTCTTCACTCCCAGCAATACAGACCTTGGTGAACAGTGGGCGGCGGAACTGGATCCCAACATCTTGTTCAGACTCCATGTAATAGAGATTAAAGGTCTCTTTGCAGGTCACCACTTCACCTTTGAAGCTCTTGCAGTCCCTCACAGTAAACTTTAGCTCCACATAAATGCGTGAGGCTGCCTCACCCCGATAAATCCAGTTGGTGCGAAGCCAGTGATCGGTGTCGCCCTCAGAAAGCACACTGCAGTCCTGGTACATGTAGATCGGGGTACCATTTATCATCTGCTGCACTTCACTCCACTGCTCCCAGGGGACAAGAAAACACATACTGTTAGACAGATGTGAGAAACAACTTTCACTTCAAATATGACAAAACCTTGACTAAAAATCGGTTCTTAGACAGGGTTTGGGGCTCATTTCATGCACTGCTTTACCTTGGAGATTGAGAAAAAGACCCACTACTCCCACGTATTGGCCACTTCTCTCTGCCACAGTTTACATTCAAGGTGTACAGTAGGACCCTACCAGACCAAAATTATTATCTGCCCCCAGAAATAATACACAGTATTTGGGAGTAAGAGAAAAGATGGCGTGGCATAATGGAAAGGTAAATTGCAGAAGGACTGTTGTAGAGCAAGCACTCATTAACTTGGAGTTCACGCTTCTTTAAGTGGGATATTTTGCAAAACCTAATTTAACTATTAAAACTCAGTTGATTTTCCTGACTTCATATTGCATTTAAGTTCTGCATCTTCCCCAGGCAAATAATGGCTGAGAGGAGGATATGGGCCCAGCTGGTTATATGACCTTACTAATACTATTTGCATGAATCTAATAAAGTTTGATACTGATTTTAACATATACTTTTGCCAAATTTTAGGTGGTTCTATTTTTTTTTTCCTTACCACAGGTCAGATACAAAATGCAAAGAACGTTTTCTTTTGAGTAATTCACACATGAGAACTGAAAGTTTGGAAAGCAAGGTTTTATCCACAGGGAAAATAACTTACATCCTTTTTCCCCCAGTGCTAAGACGGCCTTTCTCATTATGCTTTAAATGTTTAATCAAATTAAATTGAAACAGGTGCCCACATAAGTACTGGCACAACTTTAAGCATCTTGGTTTTAAATCACACCCCAGGTTAAGATGCAATTTAAACAAGGCCTCAGTCTCTGCATTGCTCCAGACTTGTCAAATCTCATGGGCTGAGCATGAGATTCCCACATTTCTTCAGCACCACCACCTCCTGTGCTCACAGCACAACAGCTTGTCGCCCCACAAACCAGGTCACTCTGCTAGTGGAATGAATACAAGAGATGGACAAAGAGGCTCAGTTTTTATGCCATGATTTACAACATACTTCCTACTTAGCCCCACTCTGAAAAGTATGAGCGCTTTCTCCAAGCCATCAAGTCGTGCTGATAGCACAAGCTCCTCTCTGCATGATTCCAGCCTCTTACCTAAGTGCACACTAGCAGTCTCCTCCCAGGAAGTTTTGGGGATGGTATCTATGTGTCCCTTCTTGTTCCCTTTTTTCTCTACATAATTAATCCCCAGTATTACCCCACCCTCTTAATCTGATCCAGCTGGCATACAACTGCAGCACACAGGATTTACACTTATTTCACTCACTGAAGGTCAAAGGATTTATGATAGCAAAACAAAGAAAGATACTGACAGATCAATCCCAATTGATCAAGCAGAAGGGACAATCACTTAATGATCTCCTGCAGTCTTTAACTGAAAACCTTCTGGAAAATGTTACAGCACTGAATTTACAATGCATCCTGAAGTATATTGAAGTAGAAGAAAAGAAGTTAGGAAGGAGAATAAGAGCAAACTAGCTTTCATACAGTGCCAATGTTAGGACTGGCTTTTAGAAATATTTTTCAATGTGAGTCTGCCTGGGAAAGGCATAATTGCAGTTTGAGGCTGAGTGTTAGACAACTTTCCATTAGGAGTTTATCCCAAGGCAGTACCACAGACAAGTGTCACCAGAAAGTGGTTTTTGCATGTCTCACTGAAAGGCATGAGCTGTTATGGTGCCTGTCCTGAAAAGACATTTTCAAAACATACATGATACAGGACCAAAGTTTCATTTTCAGGAGTGACAACTCTAGCAAAAAAAAAATAAAAATAATAAAAAAAAATCCTTTCAACTCTACTGCTGGAAAAAAAATCCAACTGCTAACCCCCATATTTCTTAGCTCATCTCAGCCCAGCTTCTTCCAGACTCAGTTCTTCAGGGCAAGGATGCTTGGCACTGACAATTGCAGTTTCATATGCAGTGTGGCGCAAAGAAATAACAAGGGAGTCAGACATGTTTTTTCTAGAATCTACTGCTGATGGGTAAAGGAAGTAAAATGAGGATATTATTTATGCTAACAATACAGAACTATTGTTAAATATGCTTCTGACTTCTTTTCGTTATTCAGTGAAGCTTTTAAATTCAAAGTAGTAGAGGAAAACTGTTACACACAACATTTAATGAAAGGGTGATGAGACCAGAAGTTGCCAAGTGACTGTCTCCCATCCTCAAAGAATCTGCTGCAAAATCAAAATGTATGCCTCTGATTTTTAATGTAATGTTCTTAATAAACATGTGTGGTAAAGTCTGGCTCAATCAATATTAATTACTTTCCTCTGCAGTTTGTCTGCCAATGACATTGAATCAACCTCCTATAATATATAACCTATATATCTAATTTTATAAACCAGCCTATAATGTATCTTTTTACCCACTTCATTCCATACACTGTTGCCTTGCTACAGGCACCAGTTTGCCATGGGACGGGCAACATTCTTCTAGAAGTGGAGTACAGTGTTAGTCAGACTTCCTTGTTTTAGTAGTGAGTGAATTTGTGGTTTTTTGATGTGAGAAAAAAACTTTCTCATGGGATTCAGAATCACAGAAGGATTTGGGATAGAAAGGACCCTTGGAGATCTTCTAGTCCAATTCCCTGCTCCAAGCAAGCTAAAAAGTTCTTAAAGTTGTTATTCTTTAAAATGCCTTTTAACCTCTCTGCTTTTTTAAGTTAGTCTAAGCTGTCCTTAAACTAGACTTCAAACTCCTAAAATAATTTAGAATTCTTTAGAAGTTGCTAAGAAAACAAATGCCAATGCATTCAGGAGAGTGCCATCGGTTAGTAGCTTGGCTTCCTAAGAAGTCTAACTATGTAGCCATTGAGTTTGAGAACAAATGGGTTTTCTGTACTTCTCAGAAACCCATATACTAACACAGGCACCTAGTTCCAGAGGTTTGTTCTTGAAAACCTTGGTGCAGTTGTGTAATACTGAACAAAATGATTCCAGCCATTAGAGTGAAGTGAATAACAACCTCAAAGCAAAGATATGGTGTCAATAACCTCAAAACACTGCAAGTTCAGGAAAAAGGAAAAAAGGAAAGCAACTTTCCTCGCATTGGTTTGATTCCGTATAAGGAAAGCTGTCTTTATAAAGGCCATTCAGAATGACTTCAACGACAATGTGGAAGGACACCAATAGATATTTGTAGTAAACAGAATTTTCTTTGGTCTGTCATTTCAGTAAAAATCCAAAGATAAGATAAAGTATGTGCCTTTTAATATCTGCCTTTATTCCCTCTGAAATGATTATACAGTTTGAAGCTCTGAAGCCTACGGAAGGCTTACTCTGCTTTTTCTGTATAATGAGCCTTCTCTAGATTAGGTTTGTGTCAAGGATCCTATCTAGGACAAGCTGTGATTTCTTCATCCAACTGTGGACTACTCTTCCTAGGATCTACTATCAGGTATAAGATGGAAACAGTTTGCACATCTTGGAGCCACTGTCTCAGGCTTTGCAGGCATCAATGTAGTGGTCGCTTTTGGTTTTAGCTTTTTTTAGGTGGGGAAAAAAAGGAAGGAAACAAGTTTTTTGTGTTGGCAGATACAAATTTCATCCCTGCTAATGGAGAGGTAGTGTACCAGTGACAAAGGCAGCAGGCTGTGACAGTATTTCAAATTGTAGGCTCAAACTGGATTCAGAAGAGCTTGTGACTCACAATAAGAATACTGTTGCCATCTCCAGCTTGCTAGGGACTTGCTCTATCTCCATTCAGAAAAGAGCCTGCTTGCTTGGACCTCTACCTCATTTGTTTTCACATTGCCTTAGCACAGTGACTTCCAATCTGTGGTCTGCAGACCCCTGAGGAAAGGCACAGCAATACTTACAGATACTTACAGATTTAAAGTTACTAAACTAAGATGCATGTCTCCACTGGAAAAGTTATTAAGAATTCCTACTGGAAAAGTCAAAGAGTTCATAAGTTGAAATCCAATGACTTGTTTAACTTAGGTTAAAAAGGGTTAGAAAATTTCATGAAGATGAAAAGACCAGCTAAGTTAGTAAAGCCAGCTACATTGTACCTGTGCATAGCAAGTGTGTCTCAATCTCATTTAATTTTCAACAGAATTTAGAGGCCATTAAATATCTTCTTGAAGAAAAATTGCAAGGTCCCAACACAGCAACCTTTTTTAGCAACAATACATCACTGGTGTGCCAAGCCTGAAACCACCTAGGAGAAATGAGTCGACACATATGTCACTGAACAGTTTTTATCCCCTTTCCCTGGCAGCAATCTTGCCTGTGGAGTGTCTTGACTTTTGTATAGTAGCATTTGCATGCTGCCATGTCCAAAAAGCCTTCCTGGAACAGATTCAGCATTGGAGGTAATTACAGCTGTGCTAAAATCATAGTGTAGTTTCCTCAGAGGAAAGCTGACAAGAAAGGCACCTTGCTGGCACCTATCATGATACAGTGAAGAGCTTCTCTTCAGTTGAAATACATCTGACAAAAATTTTTCAGGAGGCAAGCTGGACCAGCCAACCAAAAATAGCATCACCACAGTGGTGTATTCCAGAATGAAGCTTCTGTGACCCTTTACTGACAGTTTCTCAATACTCTTTGAAGTTCCTTTGCTGGTGAGGAAGACAGTTTAGATGATGATGATGAAAGAAGTGTGGTGACATCTAGACACTTCATGAGTCCTGTAACTTTAAATCTGAGAACAGCTGAGGCTGCTCTTATTTCTTTGATCATTTGGCTATGGTCAGGCAATTTTAATTTCATCACATCATCACGGAGCCTTTTACACAACTGAACACAGAAGAGATGTTTACTTATCTACAGTATCTTTATGGGTATATTTTTTCCCCACAATGATCCATTGGTTATTTTCAGGGAGGAGCAACTCTATTATGTAATTACTTGTTCTTTAGGGCACTAGCACATAGGTCTCCATCCCACCCATGTCCTTTCAATTTAACTGGTAGTCATGCTCTTATGGGAAGATAAGGTGTTAATGTGAGACACCGAGCACCAGTGCATTGATTACAGAACCTGTTTATCAAACCCAGGTTCTGCTGTCTGCTCATTCTCTCAACTGCCTGACCACATTAAGGTCTTGCATGAAAACAGTTCTGGTCACAACAGATGGTACTAGATGAGGGATAATGATACTCTAGTCCAACATTTCACCTAGCTGGTTTGGAACACTTGTTTTGTATATACCTGTTTTACTAACACTAACAGTACCAATAACTACAAAAAAGACTGGAATGAAAAATCAGATTGTGAACCTCAAGAGTTCAGAATTCCTAGCTAAAGCCATATTACCAATAAAGCAAATGTTAGCTCTCATGTTATTTTTTGCATTACATTGCATAGTAATTACATTCCATTGTAAATGGAAGTGATTTTTTTTCATTTTTTTCATTTTTGTATTGTGAGCTGTGGTTTTGTATGGTGTGTCAAGTGTCCTTCTAGTGTTTACAGAGCAGCTGGAAATTAGTCTGATGGTGATGGGCAATACTTGCTCTCTTTGTATAAGTTCCTTTAAAGATGGATCAGGTGGAATCCCACACTGGGATGGGGTAATTATGCCTTGATGATGATCAAACCTGCCTGGAGGAAAGAAACTGCGGGAGATGGCAGCCTGAAAGTCATGTGAGGAGCTGGCAATATTCAGGTCAAGCAAAGAGAAAACAATGGGCCTTGAAAACAATGGAAATAACCTTTTGAGAAATAAACTATGGGAATATTTTTCTGCAGATCTGCCTCTGAGATGGTGAGAATCACAATTCAAAGCATAGGTTCATCCTTCAAGGACACAGCAGGCAACAAAAGACATAAAGCCTTTGCTTTCTAATTGCTTGCCTGCAAACTCCCCAGTATTTTAGTTGGTATTATAATAGAAGTTATTTTGTTTGGGTTTTCTGTTTGTTTGGTTGGTTAGATTTTAATATCTTTATTATTATTATTATTACTATTTTAAATAGCCTGTTAGTCTTCTTGGAGAACCATGCTATAGGCAGGCTAATCTCCAAGCTCCAGCTGACTTGTGCTGCTTTTGTGTTGACACAAGGAAGTTCAGTGAACCTTGTCCACTCATTCAACAGCAATAAAAACATGAAGCAGCTTTCTGAAGCTGCCAG